TTTTTTTAGATTGCTCTCTCATTGTCAGTACTGACGATTGCTCAGTTTTACTGTCCTCTTTTGTTTTCATTCTTGTTACGGTCGAGAAATGGATTATAATTCTCGTGAAATTTCCAATCAGTTTGATTTTTATAATCGATTGCATAGCATGATCCATGGAGAAGTTAATTCTGTTCAGTGCAATGAACGAAGCGAAGCGTAAAGGCTTAGTGGTAATCCACGGTGGTTGTGGGATAATTGGTGCGATGGATGCTGCACGTGAACAAGAATGTAGAGGTGCTTTAGCTGAAAGTGCAAATGCGGCAATGCGTCAGTTATCGAGTGGTGGTTCCGCATTGGCTGCGGTCGTCGAAGCCGTCAAAGTTCTTGAAGATTGTCCTCAAGTGGGCACTTATATCCTGTTCAGTTAGGATCGATGACGCTGTAATTGTTGCATCATTTCTCTATGTATTTCAATTCGTCAATAAAATTAAATATCGCGAGAATTTACCAGATTCGATGTTGTTTCCCTCTGAGAATTGTTCACGTCTCTTTTCATGAGGCGGCAGATGCAGTTGTTTTGGGATTAGTCATTCGTCTTTCGTATCAGTCTATTTGATACTCGTTCAAAACCTGAATATTATGTCCATTAATACACATCACAAGTATTATGGCTAAAGAAAAAATTGTGATGCTATTATAATCACAATATTGATACGGGCATAAATAAGCATCGTAATAGTCACACTAATGAAACAATAACAATAATGGCTGTGATAACAAGTCGCTACCCTTTCGAATATCGCAACTTCAAGTAAACGGTAACGAAAACTGATAATCGTTTATGAAGACTATATTCAGTTCAATTGTGGTAAAGGATCGGTGTTCACAAGAGATGGCACAAACGAGATGGATGCAGGTGTAATGGATGGTTACACTGGTGCTGTCGGAGGTGTTTCCACTTTAACAAAGTACTTCCATATTGTCCCGTTTACATTTATCTATGATTCTACTATTATTGGTATTATTATTCCTACTATTACTTTTATTATTTTTTTCCTCAACTGCGTTTAACACGTACATGCAGTTGAGGATAATTCGTGAGCAACGTAGAGGTTTCCGTTTAGCTCCATAAAAAAATTTTTTTTAAAAGTTTTGCTGAATGTGATCAACGAATTGGTGACTGTGTCGCCGTCACCAAAAATAAATGATGTCATCAAAATGATGCTTTCAATGAAATTATGAGGCCTTCACGTGTAATTATTTAAGTGTAAAAAATCCAATATGTGCAGCTCATTGTGTATTGAAGCATTCAGTACATTCTCTGTTATGTGGACCCGGTGCTGAAAAATTTGCGGCGGCGCACGGATGTGTCACTGAAGCTCGTGAATATTTTTTCACTCAACACAGGTACCACACCATATGTTGCGTATTGCAGTCGTGTTGCGTAATCGAACACATGACTAGCTTCGATCGACATAAAAACCGAAAACAGATCTATACACGGGGTGACGGTAATCGATG